AACATTATATTAAACATAAAAAGTAATTTTTTATTATATTTATTTAAAAATCATTTTTTTTCTTGATATGTATGATTTTAATTTCTTTTTTATATTATTAAAGATTTTATAAAAAAAGATTATAATTAAAAATAATATTTTTAAAAGATATAATAAAGTTTTATTTATAAAAAATATTTCATTTATTAATTTATAAAGAAGATAAATTTATTATTTATATTTATTATTTTATTAACTTAAAAATATAAAGATATTTTTTTATTTATTTTTTTCATTTATTTTATATAACTTTGTCTTTTTAATTATATATTTCTATTTGATTTAAATATTTTTTTTATCAGTAAATATCTTTTTATAATTATCGACTCTTTAAGTATTTTATTAATTTTAAATTTCAAATTTATATAAACTTCTTTATTTTTTATAAAGGGACCTATTAAAATTAGCTTGAATAGGCGAATAGTCATTATTATATTATTTTCCTATATTATAATTAGAATAAAGTTATTATTAAAAATTTTTATTACTATTAATAAAATCAACATTAACCTTAAGTGAAATATTTTAACTTTTTTTTTACTAAAACTTATCATTCACTAAAAGCATATTTTTTAATTTAATATATTTTTTACTATTAGTATATTATTAATTTTTTTCTTAAGTAAAATTTTAAGAATGCATTTTCTAAAGAATTTATTAATTCAAATTATTATGAAAGCTAATTGACTTAATAATTTAATTTGAACTTCTTTAAAAATTGTAATTTATATTGTTTTAATTTTCACTAATTTCAATTAATGAAGGAGTTTAATTATCCTATTTTTTAAAAAAAGCTTTTTATATGTTATAAGCAAATTATTATTCTATTATCGATTTATTCTTTTTTTTTTAAATAAATAAATGTTAAATAAAATAAGAATATTATTACAGCTTTAATACTTTATTATGATTATGGCTTTTTTTATTAACTATCAAATTTATTTTTCCCTATTTTTAAATAATTAAGTCCATTTATATGTGCCTAGTAATTTATCACTTAGCTTCTTTTTTTCATTTTATTAAATTTAAAAGCTTATAATTATCCATCTGTTATTTTTTAAGTTGTTTTTTGAACTATTTTTGTTTTTACATGTTATTATAAAGACTTAATATTTTTTTCTTTAAATTATTAATAAAACCTTAATTTTAATTATTATTTAAAGCCAATAGATAATGAATCTTTTATATCTATTTAAATCACCTTATAAGGTGATTTAATAAAATTATAACTCTTTTTATTATCAAGAGAGTAAATAGAGTGAATTTTTCTTTTTTTTTCAACCTTATTGTCTATAGAGAAATGTTTATTTTCTTCTTATTACTATTTTTAGATATCTTAGAAAGTCGCAATTTTCGGAGAAAAGCAAATTAAATTTTAAGATGAACCAAATTTTTGAGATAAATTGAATTTTAAAGGTGAACTATCTTTTAAACTACTACAATTTTTTTAGGGAGAATTATATTTAAAGGGAAAATCGATTTTTAAAAGAGAAGCAAAATCTTATTTTTAGCTAGTATTTCTATTAATTATGGCTGAAGAATTAGAATTGCAAGCAACATTATTTTCATATTTCAAAGGAGAAGCAGATTTTTATTTAATTAATTATAAGCTTTTTAATTATAATATTTCTGTTTTTTCTTCTAATTTTTTACATTCATTATTTTGTAGTTAATTATATGTTAATTAATTTATGTTATTATTCGATAAAGCATAAACATCTTTTTCTTGATAAAAATAATTCTAGAAATTATAAATTTACTATTTTATATTTTAAATTCTTTTTTCCATTAAAGCATTTTTTTTTAGAAGTCTTTCAAAAATAAAATCTCTAGCACCTTATTCAGGCATTATTTTTTCCAAAAAATCACTTTTTTAAATTTGTTGTAGTTCTCCAGAAGAAGATTCACATAAAACTGAAAAACTTCTATTTTTTTTTTCAAGAATATCCTCTTCTCCGAAAATTTCGGGTTTAGATAATAAATAAATCTATTATTTTTTATTATTTTTTTATTTTTTTATATATTTTATATTACTCGTACTAATTTTATATTTTAGATATCTGATTTTATATTTTTTTATATAGTTTTTTCTTCATCTTTTATATTATAAAATTTTTTTATAACTACGAATTCTCCACTTAAAATTAAATATATAGAATTTGAATCGTGGTTTTCTTAAAAAACAATATCATTTTTTTTTAATTAAAGTTTTTTTGAATTTAAAAATATTTTTTTTATTAAAGATAATGAAAACTTATTAAATATTAAAAATTGAGAAAAAAAATCAATATCTTATTTTATTTTCTGTTATTCTAATTTCTGTTATATTAAAACTAAATATTTCCCATTTAAAACAGCACCACATGCTTTTTACATAGTTTTTGCCTAATTAATATTCTTATTTTTATTTTTTTATTTATTTAAAAAAAAATAAAAAAAAAAAATCATAAACACTATTATAAGGATAAAATAAACTAAAATAATCATTTTCTTTCAAAAAAAATTGCTTTCATTTCATTTTATTTATAAAATAGACCCTACACTACCTTAAAATATAAGAAAAAATTATTTTGATTTTATTCAAATTACATTTAAAAAATTCAATAATACTATTTTTTTTATGAAAAAATATTAAAAAAAACTTTTTTTTAAAAAAAGATTATTCTTGTTAAAAACTTAAATATTCTAACTTTCTAACTTTAACAAAAATTAATATAAAGATTTATAATAATTCAGTATTTTTTAGAAAAATTAAACGAATAATAAATTTAATAATTTTATTTTATATAAATATATATTATTTATAAATTTATATGATTTTTTAAATTCATATTTATTATGGAGATTTATAAAATTCATAAATTTACAAATAAAGAATAAAAATATTATATATTTATTTAAATATTCATCTTTTACCTTTTATTAAATATTACTTTTATATTTAATTTCTACATTCTTAACAACAACTATTTTTTTTTAATTAAACCAAATACATATTTAATTTTACTTAAAATAAAAATAAATTTGTTAATATAAAAAATATTATATTTCATTAGTTTAAATATTATATAAACATTTTTAAAAAATTTCTTTTGAAAATTATAAAGAATGCATTTTTAATTTATTAAAATTATAGACTAAATAAATAGCTTACAGAACTTTTTGTTCTTACACAATTCTTATTTATTATAATATTTTTTAAATAAGTTTGAAAATTCAAGCATAATAAATTCTTTTTATTAATATATTTAAAAAGTAATAAAGTTTTATAGTATTAATTTTTGTTTGTTACACCATATTTTTTATTATTGAATACATTTTACAAAAAATACCTATAAAATTAAATATAATTATAATTAAAAGAAAAAGCATCATAACATAAATTATATTAGTTAATTTTATAAATAAAATTTAAAATAATTTACGATATTATATACATTTAAAAGCAATAAATGTAGAAATAACCATAAACAAAAACCTTAATAATTAATTAAAGAAAAACTTTAACTAAAAAATCTTCCTTAAACTATTCTCTAAACGATTAATTAAAAATGTTTCCTATGAACATATTCCACGGAGAATTTTTTCGACTGAGAAATCCATTTTAAGCTATAGAGCAAAAACATTTAATTTTTTTTTTAAAAAGCACATTACTAGATTACTTGTTACTTTTTTATTTCAAATGGTAGTGTTTTATTTAAAAACATTCTATTCATCTTTTAAAGTTTAAATATATATAAACTAAATTAAAGCTTTTTCTAAAAATAATATAGGAGAATATAGTAAAAATAAATGGTATAACTTATATTTCTAAATAAATAACAAATAAAAATTCAATTAAAACATTGAAAACTGTTCAATATTATGTAATTATTATAAAAAGGATATATAATTTATATAATTAATCAAATAAATAAATAATAGTAATTCTTTAATTTATACTATGAAATTTATGGGAGTATATAGAATTTCAACTTTATTAAATCGGATGATTTTCACTTTCTAAAGCAAAGTTATTAAAATTAAAGATATTACTTATTTAGATGATTAAGATGAAACCTTAATTCAAATTTTTGAGGATAAAAATTTTTTGATTTGATATTTTTATTTATAAGTTAATTCTAATTCAGGTAGGTATCTTATTTGGAAGAAGATGCTTGTAAATAAACAATAATTTGAAAAATAATTCCTATATGTTAAAAGAATATATTTCTGTTATTAATTTTAGTCTATGTTTTTTAAAAATAGATAAGAAATTAATTAAACTGTATTTTGTTTTTTTATTCATAATTTTTTATTTAAAAAAAAAAAGTATAATTCATAAACTGATTGATAATATTCTATTTCTAATGGTAATGATATAACTTAAGACAATATAATTTAAAAAACATAATTATATAAACAATATATTAATTAAGTAAATTAAATAAATATTTTTAATAGAACTTATATATAAAATAAAAAAAAATATTATAAATAATATTTATTTTAAAAAATAAAAAAAAAATAAAAAACATTTATTTTTTTTTTAAATAAAATCAATGTAATAAAATTTAAATTATTAATAAAAATTTTCCTAAACAAATATATCTTCTGCATAAAACTCCGATTAACAATATTATAAATTAGTTAACTAAAAAGACCAATTACTATAATAATTCATTTAACAAAAAATCAAAACCCAAAACATATATAAGCCCTCCATAGCATTCCACGAATACGAGGATAATTCAAAATATGAAGGTCAGTTAACAAACGATTCTCGAAACGGGATCGGCGTATATTATTTTTCGAATGGCGACATATATTACGGTGAATGGCAAAACGACTAATTGCATGGTGAAGGCACATATATATATCAAAGCCAAGAACAATATTAAGGGTAGTTCAAAAACGGGAAAAAAAACGGAAAAGGAATATATATATACTAAAATCAAAGCTATTATGATGGAACTTACAATATGGATAAAAGACATGGTTATGGTGTTTATAAATACGTAAAAACAAACGAAAGATATGAAGGAGAATGGGTAAATGGGGAAAAATAAGGACAAGGGACTTATTTTTATTCAAATGGGGGAAAATATTAAGGGTAATGGTTAAAAAATCAAAAACATGGAAAAGGAGCTTATTATTATCCTTCTGGATCTGTATATGAGGGGGATTGGCAGGATGATAAAGTTAATGGGTTTGGAATTTAGATCGTAAAAGATAGTTACAGATACGAAGGTTAGTTTTAAAATGGGTTGAAAAGTGGATAAGGTATTTTTATATTTTAAGATGAATCAAGTTATGAAGGAAACTTTTTGAATGATTTTATTAATGGGAGTGGGAATATGAATTATGCGAATGGGGATATTTATTAAGGTGAATTTTTTAATGATATGAGAAATGGAAATGGGACATATTAGTATGCCAATGGAGATATTTATGATGGAGAATGGAAAGATGATAAAAAATAAGGAGTAGGAACTTTGGAAATGCAGACTGGTGATATATATGAAGGAGAATGGTATTTTATTATTATATTTGCTTTATAAATTAAAAAAATTTAAATAGGAATGAAGGAAAAAAAAATGGAACAGGAGCTTATAAATTTGCAAATGGAGATAGTTATGAAGGTTGTTTTGTGAATGGACTAAGGTACGGGAAAGGAATATATACATGGTCAGATAAATCATTTTATAAAGGAGATTGGGAATAAGTGTGTTAAAAAAATAATAAAAATAAATATATATATATATATATATTATATAAATATATATATATTATATATACATAATTAATATATTATATTAAATTTATTTATAAATATATATGTATATATTTTTTATAAGGATAAAATGAATGGTAAAGGTATATATTGTAGTTCAGATGGAAAATAAGTTGAAGGTTATTTTGAAAATGATAATTTTGTAGGATCATTATGATTTTTTTAACTATTATTTGATAAAATATAATTTTTATTTATAAAACAATATATTTATACATATTAATGAAATAAATTTTTTTTAATATTAATATAATATTTTTTTTTTGATATTATATTTTTTATTTTTTTTTATTTAATTAATATATTTGTTTATAATAAAATCATATTTTTAAAATTTTACAATTATTAATATTATTTATTTATATCTTTTATCATTTTTGTTTAAATAAATATAAATAAAAAAATTTATTTTAAATATGTAATAATAACCTCCATAATTAGATGAAGAACAATTAAATTTTATAATTGTTTAAGATTACGTTAATTTAGCTTTACGATTATCAAAAATATGTGCAAATACTTGTTAAGTTTTTAAAAATAATACATATAATATAACATAGTTATAATAAAATTGTATAGGTATTTAAAAATTTCAATCAATTTTTATTTATTTGTTAAATATATAATTAATAGAAACTTGTGTAAATAATATTTAAAAAACATAATCTTCTTTCTTAGAAAATTATAAAAATTTACTTTTATAAGAAGATGCATAATAGGAAAACGAATGAAAAAAAATTAAATACTTTATCTATAAATAATTTAGATTAATATATTTTATTTAAGTAATTATATTATTTATTGAAATCATAAATGAAATTTAATAAGTTAATTTAGCTTTTATTTTATTTTTAAAAAAATCATATTATATTTACTTTTATCTTTTATTAAATAATCTAATAAATAATAATATATATATATAAATATATGAATAGAGTTTCTATACAAACAAATAAAAAAAAAATATTTTAATTTAATTTATTAATTCCAATAAAAAAAATTATAATATCTTTTATTGAATTATAATATTATTAATATATCATAAATTTAAATAAAATAAGAAATGATAAAACCAGGATCAGGCTCATCAAAAGTTGCAAAATAAAATTTAGAATAAATTTCAGCAAAAATTTCATCTGGGACTATAATTGTAATTAAAATTTATAATTTTCAATTTAACTTTTATTTGTTTTTTGAGTATTTAAAAAATACAATTATAATAAAAAATTAATATAAAAAGCTTAGCATCTAACATTTTTTAATTTTAATAAAAGGACTTTGAAGAATTACATTAAAAATCACTTCATTTAAAAATAAAAAATTACATTAAAAATAAAATTGCTTTGAATTCAACAAAAGCAATATTTTAAGACTTCAAGCCTAACCTATATCATGAAACAGCCAGAGATAAATACCTTGATGTTTTTAATGCATATAAAAAACATGATAAAGTTGAATTAATGAAGCATTTATCAGTCCCATTATATGATGTAAAGATTAATTTAAATTTCTTGTTTTTTTTTTTTTTAAATAAAAAAATAAAAAAAAAGATATTCAAGACATCAATAAAGAAAAATAGGCCTTTACCATTTACTTTATATGATGAACTTATTGATATTTCAGTTGTTATGGCAAGAGTTTATTCATTGGATAAACATTTAAATAGTCGTGCTAATACTTGGCATTAAATTACTTGTTAATTTGTATTTCATGATAAGCTATTAAAATAAGATATTAAAAAATATAATGTTTTTGAAAGAAGATAAATTGAAAACACAATTCCTAATTCATGGAGAATATGTCATTTTGATTGAAAAAAAAAATAATTATTATAATTTAATTTTTAATATTTTTTTTTAAAACAAATTTATCATTTTTTTTTATTTATAAAATTAATTTTATATAAATATAAAAAATATAAATATATATATATATATTTCATTATTAAATAATAATCATTAAAGTTCTATTTTAGGAATACATATATGATTAATTTTATTAAACCAAAATGGCAATTACTATGATAATTCATGTGCTTTTGCTATTAATTCTTTATTATTTTTTTTTAATTTTATAAAACAAAAAAATATAATTACATTGTCCTTCATGTTCTCTTGCTAAATTTTTAAGAAGCATGTTTCCATAAATTTAAAGACATAGTACTTTATTATAGTTATCATTCTAATATAATAAAAAAAATATAATTTTAAAAATATATAAGCCTTACATCTCCTATAATTTCTAAAGTTTTTTTAAATAACTATTCAGCTCTTCCATGCTTTATTTAAAAAATAAAAAAAAAAAGCATTACTAAAGAAAATAAAAATACTTCATTGTAATTATTACAAAAAACACCTAAAGTAATTAAAAATCTATCAATATTTACAGGATCTATCTATTCGAAAAATTTAAGCCCATATTTAAACCAAAACATAGCATCCTATTATTTAATAATAAATAAATATATACAAAAACATTAAATAAATTACAGTTTTTAAATCAGGACATGTATGAAATAAAAATTCTTAGATATTTAATAAAGGAATTCCACATTATTTATTTTTTAATAGTATTTAGTTTTCTGTTGGATCCTTTATATTATTTTGTTAATAAAAAAAAAATATTATAATTTTTTTTTTTTTTTTTTCATAAAATAAAAAAAAAAATACAAATTTTTAATGTTCTTCCGGGATTATATTATCTTAATCTAATAATATATTCAAATCTTTTTATTTTTCCTTATCTTCAATTTCATTCACATTTTAAATATACCACAAAGCCTTTTTGAATAAAGGAATAGTATTATCGAAATCAGCTTCTACTTATTCACTACTATAATCAGATTCCTTAAGCTTTAATTAAGAATTATGATATTTAGTTTCATCCCCTTATTCACCATCACTTTCTTCAGCATCCTCTAAATCCCTAAAATTTGGATGTTTATGCCACCAACAAGCAACAGCTAAATTATTTAGAGCATACCCTCTTAATAAGTTATTTGGGTCTAACATAATGCAATCTCTAAGCTTTTACTTAGCTTCGACAAAATTGCCTTTCAATAAATACGAAGTCTAAATTATTTAATTTATATATTTATTTATTTTTAAAAAAAATACGCCTAAATTAAAAGCGAATATTTATTCGAATTATTTTGGAATATTTTATTTTTCTTTTTCACTTAAAAGTGCTCTTCCTAAAACTATTGCCTTTATTTAATTTTTTATTAGAATGTATATTTATTTATATTAGTAAATATTATTTATATTTTTTTACAAATAAATTACTTTATTTAAATTAGATTTCATACAATGTAAAAATAAATTATTGTATTCAGTGTATATAATATTACTAGGTAATGCTTTATTTTAGGAAATTTAAATTATTTATTCGAGTGTGCTTTCGGCTTCCGAATATCTTTTTAATACTATTTGATTTGAGGCTAATCTATATTTTAAAAAACATTTATTTTTTTATTAAAAAAATAAAAATATAAGACTTTTTCAAAACTATTAGTTAGAATTATTCGTTTTAGCCTTATCTGTTTAAGTTTTCTAATGATCTTCTAAAAAACTCATGGGATATTTTATATTTCCCTTTTTTATAAAACTACAGAGCTTTTTTATATTCTAGTTCTATATCTATTAATTTAAATTCCATTGGATCAAGAGATTATTGTAAAATATCTTATATTTATTATTAATCATGATTATAATTTTCTACATCATTATTTAATTTATAATCGGCAAATTTTTATTTTTGTTAATATTATATTTATGGTTATATTTTTGTATGTATTTTAATTTTTTATTATATAAACTTAAAGGGGAAGTTTATTTTAGATATATGAAGCATGTAATTAAACTTTTATTTTTATTATTAAAAAAAAAAGGTAATTAATTATAAATAAAAATAAATATTTGTGTAAAATAAAAATAATATTTATAAGTATAAATTTTATATAAATAAAATTTATAAGAAAAAATGTAAATTATTATATTTTTAGTGTTTATTTTTTTATATTTAAGTATTTAATAAAAATTTTATAATAAAATTAATATATGAATATTATTTTCAAAGTTTTATATATTTTTAATAGAATTAAATTGAGTTTGTTAAGAATAACAAAAAAAAAATTAATTATATATTAATAAAAATTAATTTATTTATTTTTAAAATATAATTAATATAATTTTTTATATTTATAAAAAAATCCATTATACTCAATGAATATTAATAATTTTTAATGTAAATCTATCATTATATTTTACATATATACAATAAAATTCTAATTAAAAAAAATATTAATTAATTTATATTATTTATAAGTTTTATTCTAAATATATGTTTTAATAATTAAAAAATAAAATAAAGTACAAATTTTCTTATATAATTTATATTAATTATAATTTAATATTTTTAAATATAAATTAATATTTATATATTTAATAATTTTGAAGTATATTTTTATCTTAAAAATAAGAAAATATTTATATAAAAACATGATTATTGATTATTTTTCTAAATAATCTTTTATTTATTTATATTGAAATATTTTAATGCAATTTTCCAAAAATTATATAAAAAATCTAAAGTACTATTTAATAATAATTTCTAAATGAAATTTAGATTACAAAACATTACAAATTACTATCATTTATATATGAATATTTATAGATAATATATAATATAATATACATTATGAAGTCAACAAATATCAATTAATAAAATATAAAAATCATAAAAATATTTTAAGATTCTTTTCTAATAATTAAGAATTATATATAATAAAAGATATGTTTTTTCACATAAAATTCACAATTACTATTTTCAGTCAAAAAATGTAATAAAGAGAAACAATTATTTAATGAAAATTAATTAAATTAATATAAAAAAATTATTTTGGAAATTCATTATATTGATAAAGTTATTAAATATAAAAAAAAGCAAAATCCTTTTGATTTTATTACAAAATATCTTTATAGGAATACTGTTTTGAAACTTTCTAAATACATAGAAATTCACTTTTAAAGGATAATAATTTAGGATTAGGAAGATTTTATAAGAAGAATGCTTAAATAAATCGGTTATTAAAGAAGTTTAATTAGAGAAATCATTATTGATACTATAGAATATTCAAAATTTTCTTTTAAATTTGGATATTTAATTAGAAAATGATTAAAAAAAATATTAATTAGTAGATATTATAGAATTATTGTTTATGTTTTTACTGAATATATTGGATTTATGTAAGAGCCTTATATGGAAATTGGATTTTTTCTTGTATTAATTATAAATAAATAAAAATTTGATAAGGAATTACTTAATTATAATTTAAAATTTATAATCAAAAAATAAAAAAATTAAATTTAAGAATAAAATATTATAATTAAAGAAATAAGTAAAAATATTTATATAATAAATAAAGAAAGCAATTCTAAAAAGATTTTCAGATCTAATTAAATTAAAATAAAATAATAATATTAAAATATTACAAACTATTATAAGATAAAAAATAATAATAATTATCTAAATGAAATTGAATTAAGAATTTTTTTAAAAAATTTAAATTAAAAATAAAGTAAGCCTAAATAAATTAAATAGTTTTGATTATATCTAATATTAATTATGCTTAATATAATTTATATAAGCATATTGACATAAATTATTATTAATAAATGCTTAGAATAGATTAAATATCTTCTTTTTAATAAAAATTAAAAATTTATTTATTATTACTAAACCAAAAATAAAAATAATGTAATAAGAATAAAATAATATACTTTTGATTATAATTTAATAAGTTTCTAAGATTAAGAAATGGTAGATTTTTTATAATCTAATAATTAGAATATAAAAATAGATAATTAGACTTAATAATAGTTTATATTAAAATATTTAATAAATAAAAGAAAGTTTTTAATAAAGTTAACCTAATATATAATAACTATTATATTTAGTATAATATTAATGTTTTTATTATTTTTAATTAAATTTCTAATATAAAATTTTAATATACAAACAATTAATTTATATAAAATATAATATTTAATTATAATTAAATAATAATGATAAAATAATTTTATAAAAGTTTTTATTAATTAAATATATATTACTTTTCAAAAAAAATTTACATAACAAAATTTTAATTTACTCTAATAAAATTTCAATCGACATAATATTATAAAATATATTGAAATTTCTAGTAACATTTACTTAATTATTTAATAATCTAATTAATTTTATTATTTTGATTTAAGTTATTTTTCTAATCACTCATATGTTACAAAAAAACCCTTTAATTAACTTTCATATCATCATATTTTATATTTTTCATTTTATAATTTATCTTATCAAAAATACTTTCCAATTATGTTTTTTGTTTAGTTATTATTTATATTTACTTATCTAAACTTAGTTTGTATTTTTTAATATCTTCAAATACAATTTGACTAGCTTTAATATGTTTAATAGGTCCTAAATTTAAATATGTGTTATTTTTTTCTCTAATATTAGGAGGTTACCATTCTATTTTAAGTTTTGGTTTATTTAATTTATATTAATTATCAATAAACTCTTATGTATATTTTGGAGTTTCAGTCTCAAATAAAAAATCTCTTTCTTCAAAAATTTTAAGTATTAGCTTTTCTGCAGAGCAAGTATTAAATATTTTTAATTTATTATCTATTATTTATTCATTTTATTTCTTATATTCATTTTCAAACTAATTAATTTTTTTTTCTTAAATAGAAATGTCCTTAATTTTTTTTTATTTCATTTCATATTTTATTTAATTAATCTTTATTTCTTTCTATTATTTATCTAAAAAATAATAAACAGGAAGTTATGTCTAAACCAATAACATAGGAGTTATTATTTAAAAATCATATTCTAACTAAGAATTTTTAAAATATATATATATATATATATATATATATATATATATATATATATAAATATATATATATTATATTACTTTTGATAAATTTTCATGTATTTTTTCCTATGAAATATTTCTAATATAAGTACATTTAATTTCGTATTAAGATTCAAAAGATCTTTTATGATAATAACTACTTAATTCAATTTTTTATAAATAGAAATAACTTAAACCAAGTTTATCATAGCATATTATCTCTTTACGCTGTAAATTGTAATACCATGAATATTCCAAAGCTTTTTTATAAAAAAGTACAGCTTCTTCGTATTTTTACAGATTAATTGAAATATCTCCCATTTGAATGTAAATTTTAGTTTTTAAAAAACTATATTTTTTCGATATTTCTGTCAAATTTTTAGACTAGAATAAAAAAAAGAAAGACTTATTATAATCACTAATTAAATATGCAGATTTTGCTAAAAAAAGTGTATAATGCACAAGTAATTAAATTTATCTCGTTTCTATTACTTTAGACATATTCTGAAATTAAAATAAATACTATTATTATCTTTTTTTTATATCTATCATTTATAAAATGAAATTTTATTTCTCATTTTAAAATACTTTAATAATATTTTAAATTAGACTTTTTTTTTCTTCTGAAAATAATATATTTTCCCGATTAAGAAACTCAGATTTTTTTTTCTAGAATTTTTTCTCGAAAAAATTTTTGAGTTAAATTTCCTTGCTTTTTTAATAACTTGATTATTTCTTTAATTTCAACTAATTTCCTTCTTCTTCTATTTTCTCAACACAAAGATGCTAAGAGACTTAATTTGTATTATTGTTTAGAAAACATTTCGAATTATAAGTAGTATGAGGTCGATTAGAAGTGTAAAAAGTAGTTTAATTTGATTATAAAAGGTTCGAATTTTCATTATTTACATTCTTGCTTGTATAATTAGTAAAAAAAAGGGAATTGTTTTTTTATTTAAACTAATATCTTTAAATTTAATTTATATTTGATAATTTTTGTTATCTTTGACTTTATTACAATTTGTAAAAATATTGTTAAAAGCAAATGCAGATGTAGAATTTTTTAAATGATTATTTTTCGTAAATGATGATTAATTATTTATTTATATATATTTCTATTTTCCTATGTTTTTTTCTTAGTTTAAAAAAAAAGATTAGAATTTTTATGCTAATTAAAGCAATTGTTTTAAATAATTTAATATTTTTTATTTGATTTATAATTGTCTTATTAATAAAAACAATTTGTTGTAAATTTAAGATTATCTAAACTCATTTAAAATATTGTACTTTTTTTTCTTAAAGAAATTTATTTGTATAAAAATATGTTTGTTTGAATATAAATAAAAATAATAAATAACAAATTAATTATTAAAAATATAAATAAAAATGTTTTACAATAAATACTTATAATTCTAAATAATAAAAAAATATTTATAAATAAATTTTTAAAAATTCAGTATTTAATTGATTTAAATTAAATAAAATTTTATTATATATTTATATAAATTAAATAAAACTAAATATATTCTAGATATATTTTAAAAAAATTAAATAAAATTACAAATAAAAATAAAAATATTTAATAAATATATATATATATATAATACAAATAAAATGGCTTAGGAGTATTTTAATCAAATGAGAAGTAGTAAATAGCAATAATAAGAACAATAAAAAGCTTCTATTATAGGAATGCATTAAATATCTTTAAATAACATTTACGAAGCATGTTCTTAGAAATGCATTTTATCTTCATTTAGTAGTGAAGATATTAGTGATTAAGAAAAAGTTTGCTTAAATAAATGTTTTACTGTTAAAAATTAAAATTTTGTATAATCCATGAATAATGTAGCAGTTTTTCAATAATTACTAAATAAGTAAGATAAAAATACATAAGAATAATAAAAAGAATAAAAAAAATGAATAATGTTTAATATATTTATTTATTTATTTATTTATTTTAAAATAAAATATATAAAAAAGAAATTTTATGTGTAAATTGTTTAAATTATGATATATATATATATATATATATTTAATATTTGAATAAATACTATAATATGTAAATCTTATTTTTTAATTTTATAATTAATAAAATTAAAATATAAAAAAATAATAATTATATATTATTATATTATATAAATATTAATTATAATATATATAAATAAAATTATGATTATAATATATATATTATTATATATTTATATATATATTTATATATTTATATATTTATATTTTTATTATTATATTTATATATTTTTCTTATCAAAATTTTTTTTTTATTTAAGAATTTAAGATTTTATTAATTATCTGTATAATATTTTTCATAAATTTTAATATAATTAATATTAAATAAAAATTAATTTTTTTTTACATAAATTAAGAATTAATAAAAAATAAAATATATAAAATATATAAATAAATTATTAATTTTTTTTTTATATATTTTTTATAATTATATTATTTATTAAGCAATAATTATTTTTTTAATAAAAATTCTTTTAATCTTTTTATATATTATTGATATTAATAAAATATTATTTTTTATTTTAAAAAACATTCCAAGTATAATATATATATTATAATATTATTTATGTATTTCTTTAATTAAATTAAAAAAAATATTAATATCTATATTTTTTATTAAATAAAATAAAATTTTAATAAAATAAAGTATATTATCTTTAAAAAAATATTAAATGAGTTTCATAAACAATTGCTAAAAGTTTAGATAATTAATGACAAATAATTGCATAATGGTTCCTGGTGCTTTTAATGGTATGGTTGGACGAATTGCAGCAGATAATGGTATATAAAAAAATATTATAAAACTATAACTAAAATAGGATTCCAAGCTTTATATGTATCAGGAGCTGCAGTAACCGCTTCTTCAGGAGTTCCAGATATAGGGTAAAATTTAAATTTTTTAATAAAATATATATTTTTATTAAAAATTAATAAAACTCGAAACAAAAGCATTAAACAAAGTTATTTATATTTTATATTTGTGAAAATAGATATATATAAAAAAATAAAATAAATTAACTTATATATAATATATATTTATTATATGTTTTTTAATATATATAAAACTTAGACTTATAACTTTTGATGGATTTTGTAAAATTATTAAAGAAGTATCTATGTCTTCTGGTTTGCCTGTTCTTGCAGATGCTGATACTGGTTTTGGAGAAGGAGAAATGTGTGCAAGAACAGTTTGGGAATATTTTTAATCAGGAGCATCAGGTATAATAAAAATTTAATATTTAATTTAAACAAAACTTAGGATTACATATTGAAGATTAAATATTTCCAAAAAGATGTGGTCATTTAGATGGTAAAAGCCTTGTTTCATAATAAGATTTCGTCAGAAAAGTATAAATAGCAGCAGAAACTAGTTTAAAATGCTCAAATGGATAATTCATTATTTGTGCTAGAACAGATGCAAGATCAGTTGAAGGCTTAGATTCTGTTATAACTCGTTCAAAAGCTTATATTGATGCTGGAGCTGATATGATATTTCCAGAAGGTAAAATATATATATAATTTTTTATTTTTACTATATCTACGAAAAAAAAAAATTAAAAACTAATATATATAAAATTTATAAAAAAAGGACTTGGATCTGCTGAAGAATTTTAATAAGTAGCTTAAGCTTTAAAAGGATATGGACCTAAAGGAGGACCTTTTTTATTAGCTAATATGACTGAGTATGGAAAAACACCTTATATTCATATTGATGATTTTAAGAAATGGGGATATAATTGTGTAATTTATCCAGTTTCTACTTTAAGAGTAGCTATGAAAGCTGTTGATGATTTTTTCAAATAATTAAATAATGACGGAACTTAATAAAAATCTTTAAATAAGTAAATTAATTTAAATAATATTTATTGTTTTATAATTTTATATTATTATATTTAAGTATGTAAACTAGAAAAGAATTATATGAAACTTTAGGTTATACACCAGGAAAAGAATGGATTTATCCAAATATGTCTTAGAATAAAAAAATTGAATTACATATATAAAAAAAATGATAATTTTTATATATTATAAATAAATATATAGATATGTATCTTTAAACAAATAAATAAGTTATTTTTTTTATTTTTTTTTCTATTTTTTTAAAAAAATAATTCATTTCTTTTTTTTAATATCATTTTATTTTTAATCTAATTATTCTTATTATTTATTAATTTAATATTATTATTATTCAATTTATTATCTTTTTTTTTAATCATTTAAATCATTTTTTAAAATTGCTATCATTTAAATACTTTTAATTCTTATATTATCAATAGGAGTAATATCATCATGAAATTCTTAAAAAAGCTCATTACATTTTTTACATCCATTAGCCCAATATTAAGGTGTTGCCTAAAAAGAATAAAAAAATAAATTAAATAAATATATTTCTTAAATACATTTAAACTATTATTATCCCATAAAATAATACCATATTATTTTGCCCATACATCAGTCGATTTATAATACCAATCAGCAGAAGAATTTTCATGTATTCCATGATATTATTCTAAATGGTCGTAAATTTCAAAATTAAGGAATTATTTTATACAATAGACTGCTTATTTTAATTCGCATTAATTTTTTAAAATTTCCTGTTCGATTTTTTGTATTTAATCTTAAATTTCATTTTCTTCAGTTCTTAAATCATTATTATATAATTTCATGACATTTTTTAAATTTTGTGTTGGACGATTTATCATTATAAATTTGATTAAATATTAATTATTTAATATAATGAATTTTAGTTAGTTTATATTTTATTTTTAAGTAAAAATTTTTTTTTAAAAGAATATAGTTAAATTTTAATTTAAAAAAAAATAATATATAAAAATGAAATAAAATAATAGTTCATATATATATAAATATATATATATAAATATATATAAATATATATATATATATATATATATATATTTATTATCAACTCAAATCAAATCCACTATTTGAAAATATTGCTTCAAATAATTTTATCTTTAATGTACTTTTGTCTTAATAATCAGGAAGTTTTAAAATATTCATACATGTAGAACTACTTGGTAGTTTTTCTGGATGTTAAGGATTCCAATCGTCAATAGATTTACAAATACAAAAAGGAGGATTTAATTGTTTAAATCCTAAAGTAGGAGGTCTACTACAACTAGTTACAAAATGTAAAAATTTTTCTTTTTCAAGTTCTGAAAATTCATTTAAGCATTCCCAAAAGAAAATAATTATTAAATCATATTGATTGTAACCTTTAAAATTTTATATTAAATATTTTTATATACGTATATTATATATATATACCTTAATATTTAGTATTTTATTTTAAATCCTCGACATCAAAAGCTGTAAATTATCCTGAAATAATTAATTACAATTCATCATGTGAAAACATAGAAAGCCAATTTTAATCAATAACAGAAGCAAATCCTTGCCTAAAATTTTCAGCTTCAATTTAATTCATTAAATTTAATTTATATTATGCATATAAACTGATATATTCGTATTTATTCTCACTATATTTTTTTTAATATAAAATAATATTTATAATTATATAAATTTATTATTATATTATTTTTTACTTATTCACTATTATATTTGATCCGTCTTATTTTAATTCAACTTTTCCATTATATTCGTCGTCAATAGAAAAAGTAAGTCCATATTAGCTTACATCATCTTATGTATGTTTAAGTTTCATTAAATTTTTATATAAACTATTATCTATATATTAAAGATCTTCAATAGTACTAGGTTTTTCAAGAATTTAATTAAGAAAAACTTTCGAAAAAACCGGTTATATAAGAATATTTTCATATATTGCTTTTCCTACTATAGATCCTAAAAAGTAATATTTTCTAAATTTTTTATTTTTAAAATAATAAAAATAAAATTTGATAAATATATAAATACTATAATCTATGTTTATTATTAGGTGCTGGCATTAATGTTCTTTAAGATGTTTCTATAAACAATTCATATTCAATATTAAATCCTTAACTTTTAATTAAAAAATAAAAATTATTAAAATAATATATATATATATATATATATATATATATTTATATTTATATATATTTATATATATTTATATATATAAATATATAAAAATATACCTTATAACTGAATTTATAAATTCTTTTATAATACCCCCTCCATCTATTCCTGCTTCTTATAATCCATGTTCATCTAAGAAGCTTATTTTATATAAAGCTTTCATATTTTTATGTTTAAATTTTTAAAAAGCATCTTCCATTTCTTTCCCTCTTCTAATTTTAACTACTTTAGAATTTACAAAAACGACATTATTTTCATCTTCATTATCTACATCTTAATAGAAATCAAAAGGATCTCTATCCTGTCCTTTTTAATCTTCCAAAATAAACTCTTATAGTTTATTATATCTTTTTTCAAAAGAAAATATATGCGGCATATTATTTAAAAGCTTACTAAGGAAATAATTATCATTATTTATTCTTTGAAAATGAAAAGAACTTAACATTTTAGTCTCTTCGCAGTCTAAAAGCCAATTTTTAATGAATTTTTTTCTTTAATCTCTACAATATAATTACTTTAAAAGTTTTACTAATTTCTTCTCACATCTTTTATAACATTATTAAGGTTCTAAATATAATAGTTTAAAAGCAAATGTATTCAAAAATTCCACCAATTATTAAGTCTAGGTTAAATCGAAATGTTCTATAGAGTTATTCTATATTATAGAGGTAGGATTTAAACCCAAAGAGTAAAAAAACTCCTCGTCATCCATTAAACTTAGTTTTTTCTTATATAAAAGACAAAATAATTCAACTACACTACCCAAATATTTCTAATAGTTTTGAAATATAGATAATTAAAAGTTCTATATATATATATATATAAATATATATATATATATATATATATTATATATATATATATAAATAATTTTATTTACCATTAATTAGAATATATTTAACAAAGTATTTAGAAGTTAAAAAGATTAAGCAAATTTAATTTTCAAAGCCAGTTAATTTTGATTTTTAATTTTTCCAATATTAAGAAAAAGTTAACAAATTTAATTAATTTTTTCAAGTGAATTTATTTAAATTAAATTAGGATATGCTAATTAAAATTAAAAAAAATAAATGATTATTTTTTTTTGAAAAAAAAAATAATACATGGAATTTAAGAATTTAATAATTAACAAAATAATTAAATATTTTTTTGATTTCCGAATTAAAGTAAATCTATATCAGTTAATTATTAATCGTATTATTTATAAAATTATAAATTTTATTAAATATTTTCTATTTCCATTTATTATTAATCTATTTTTTATTTATATTTATTTTATTAGCCATTTTATTATCTAAAATTATGTTATTATATTAAATCTTATAGTACATTCATAAATTAAAAAGCAAAATTTTATAATTCATTCTAATTTATATTAAAAGGTTCAACCATTTACCATATATAAATATAGTTATTAATCCTATTTTTAATTAAATTTAAATGATTTTCCAAATTTATATTAATTTAGCTGTTTGAGATAATTTAAAACGCTAAATATGCTTTTTTTTAATCATTTTTAATTATTTTTTTCATACTATCATTAACATTTAAACATTATAATAATATATAATCATTATGTTTAGATTTATAATTAAAAATACCATATTTTAAAAGTTTAATATTGCCTTTTATTTAAAAATTAGGAGTATAATATTTTAAAGGGATTAAAATATTGAAATTTTATTATTTGCATTTTTTTAAAAAAATTATCAAAATTTAATTAAATATTTCTAAATCATTCTACAATAAATTTGATTTTTTCAACAAATACAATACTAAGCAAATTAACTTATAAATCTAAAAAAAATTATATATATATATATAAAATATAAAATTATTAATATATATATTTATTTTTTTTGTTTAATTTTTATTATTACATATGAATATTTTTCTTTTAATTATATAAATATAGACTCATCTTTTGCATTTATTAAAAATTCTGAAATACTTAATATAAGTAATTTATGACTATTAACATTATAATTATCAATATAAAGCAAAACATCAAAAAAAACTGGATATTTATAAAAAATCTGGTTACATATAGTATTATATTGTTATTATGTCAGTTTTTATTTTATTAAATTTATATCTTATTATTTCTTAAGAAAATCTTCAGAAAGATTTCGCATTTTTTTTATGTTCTATAACTTGTTTTTGATAAATGTTTGTATTTTAGAAGCTGATAAAATTTATAATTTTTCATGCTATTTTACTTCTTTTTCTTTCTTTTTTTTAGTTAGAAATTCCTTTTTATTATCCTTTTTTTCAAAACCTAAAAAATCCATTTTTTAATAAATATATTTTGTTTAGATTTGAATAATAATAATATATTTTTATATATAAAATATTATATATGTAAATATATATATATATATATATTTATTAAAAATAGGTTTTTTCTAATTAATATGTATTTGTATTTATTATTTATATAGAATAATAAAAACATGTATATATAAAAAATAATAATAATTAAATAATATCGAAATATATAAATTATTAATTTATTATTTATTTTATTCTTTTTTTATATATTTTAATATATTATTAATTAAATTATATTTTAATGCAATTTAATATATTTAATTTATTTATAATATTTATTTATTTTATATAAATAATTTTCATATTTACAATTATTATTTAAATATTATATATTTCTAGATATTTTTCTCATTTATATTTTTCATTTAATTTTTTATAATTTCTTTTATATTAATTTAATTTTATATATAATTTTTATATAATAATTTTTTATAATAATATAATTAAATTAATTATAATTATATCCTTAATATTTTTTAAAATTGATATTATTATAATATAATTTTTTTTTATAAAATTAAATTAGATACATAAGTGTTAATTATATATATAATTATATTTATATAAATTTTATTTAAAAAAAATAATATATCATTAAATATCTTATATTATTTATATAATTAAAAATCAATATAGTAATAATTCTTTTTTTTAAATATCTTATAGAAAATTTATATATTGGACATTTTCAAATTATTTTATATCCTTTCACACATTTTTATATTATATTTTTTAATAATAATAAAATATTTTTGATAATAAAAAAATCTTTTGATAAAAAATATGTTTTTGATAGTAATTTTTATTTTTAAAAATAAATATATATAAAAAATATTTTTATTAATTTATTTTTTTAATTATTAAAAATATTTAAAGTTTTTAATTATTAAATTTAATAATAGTTGATTTTTGAAATTAATTTATTATTTATAACTGCAAATATTTGTTTTTTTAATATTATCTATTGACTTATATACTAATCTATTTCAATAATTTTTAATATATTCTATTAAAATATCATTTTTCCTATTTTATAAATAATAATTTAAATAAATTATTTAATTTAAATTTGTTATATATTATTACTAAAATTAAAGATATTTTTTGTTTAAATTAAAGAGTTTTTTTAATGCAAAACTAAATTATTAAAGGCTTTAATTACTTATATTTTTACTATAGCTTAAAAAAAAAATACATAAAATTAAATAATATAAAATACTAGAAATTTAAGTTCAATAAATTAATATTTTTACAATAAATTAGAGATTCTATTAATTTATTAAATGAATAATCTGATACATTTTAATTCGCACTTTATTTATATAAAATTTAAATAAATAAATATTTTATATATATATTATTATTATTTTACTAAAAAATCAAACTTAATTGGGTTAATTATTTAAAATTTTTAACAATATAACATATTTAAGAAATACTATCATCTGTAAAATTTTCGTTTGAACTTATTTTATATATATTAATGATATATATATATATATATATATATATATATATATATATATATACATAAAATCCAAACTTAATACTTCAATTGCTTCTTAGTTTTATATTGAATTACTTATTTATAAAAGTCCTTTATCAGTGAACTTTTCGTTTGAACTTTTTTTAAAAAATAAAATAAAATAAATAAATATAAAATTTTGTTTACTGAAAATCTAATTATAAACTTTATAAATTATTAATTTTTTAAATAGAATTCGCAAATTAAATTAATCCTAAATCAGTAAATTTATTATTCCCACTTATTTAAAAAAAAATATTGTTATAAAAATAAATATAAATAATATTTACTCAACGTCAAGCTATAAGTTAATAAGAAAAGTTTATTGAATTATACATTAAGATAGTTCTTATAAAAACTAATCTGTAAAGCTTGTATTAAATCTATAATTAATTTTAATTAAACAAAAAATTCTAAAAAATTAAACCCAAAATCTAAATTTAGAGTTGATAATTTTTGCAATTAGCCTATAGATTAAGCTAATTAAATAACACCATTATTAGTAAATTAAATATTCCAACTAATATTAAAATAAAGGATAAACAATAAAAAAAATGCATATATAATATATTACTTTTTAACATTTTTTATTTTTCTTTAATTTTTTTTATTTTTCCAAAAACACAATCGTAAAAAAAAAAATAAGACATGTAAAAATGAATTATGGGCCTTTTTTTATTTTGATTAAGTTCTTTAAAAAAATAAAAATACAGATAATATAAAATAAAAACGCCGTTAAAAAGTAATACATGTATATATATATTACAAGAAATTTAAAAATAAAGTTTATAATTATGAATTATTTTAAATTGCAATTGAAAAATCTTTTAAACCATCGTCATTAAAAAATTTATTTTTACTTTTTTTTTTTAATTAAAATAAAATAAAATAGATTTATTAGTTATTTATACTGAAAGTTTAAATTAATAGTATTTAAATTTTAGTTTTTCATTATACTTTCATTTAAATTAAAAAAACATTCATTAGTGAACTTATTATTGCTTCTAAAATATTCGAAAAATAAATAAATAAACTTTAAATTTTATTTACATAAAATTAAAGTCGATATATTTTAATTCATTTAAATTTTTTATAGATTAACTTAATTTTATTAACGAAATATCAGTAATATTTTCACATGAACTAATAATTTAATTATTTTTTTAATATTTAAGGCAACAACAAAAAAAAAATACTCGAAATTTAGATTTATTTAAGTTAATTTATTTAAAAAATAAATTGAATCAAATAATTTAATTAATCCTTCATCTGTAAAATTTCTATTAAATTAAAAATCTAAAATAAGGATTTTAACTTAATCTAAATTTTTTAAAGATTCACTTAAAAATTATAAGCCTTTATCACTAAACTAATTATTACCACTTTATTTATGTAATTAATAATTAATATATATAAAAATATATAAATAGCATACTTAAAATCTAAACTCAATGTAGTTATTTATTTAAGAAAAATAAAAGATTATGATAATTACTATAATCCTTAGTCATTAAAATATTAATTATCCCTATATTTATTTTATTTTTTCTTTGAATAAAAGATTTAAGTTTAAATATATTTTTTACTAGCAATCTAATATAAGTGTTTATATTTGAGATTAGGGTTAAATTTGCTTCGATAATTTAAGTAATTCATCATTTGTACTTTATTTTTGGCTTTTCCATACAAATTTTTTAATGGTTCTTTAGCTATCATATAAACTAATATTTTTTTATTTCGAATATTATAATATTTCATTTAAATATTCTTCTGCTGTAAATCTATTTTTTGGGTCCGCTTATATCATATGTTAAGCCCATTTGAGTAAAATTGAATCAAATTAGAAACCTAAATTTTCAGGAATCTATCCTTAATTAAAATGACTAAAATAATACTTCCCTAGCCCACTATTTTTATCTTCATAGTTAAAATTTTAATAATTATCAATCATCAATAAAATAATTCCTAAAGAAAAAATGTCAGCCTATATATTATAATATTAAAAAAATATATATATATATTATATTTTACAGATTATTTATATTTTCCTTATAAAACTTCAGGTGCAACAAATAAGACTGTCCCTTTCTATTTATTTTAAAAATAATTTTTTCTCTAATAAAATTAATTTAATATAACTTATGATTCTAAGTATTATTCAGAATCCAACTATCTAGTTAAACCGAAATCAGCTTTTTTAAAAAAATAAAAAATAAGAAAAATTTATTTTAAATTTTACTTTTGTTAAATAATTACATATTTTAGTTATTCCATTATTCATTAAAATATTAGAAGCTTTTAAATCTCTATGTATAATATTTTATTTATGTACAAAATTTAATCCCTTAAGAATATCATTTACAATATTTAATTTTGTTTCTATATCTATTTATATATTTTCTAATCTTTGTCGATTTAAAAAATTTAGTAATGTTTCTAATTTTTTATTTTTATATAAAAAAATAAATATAATATACCTTAACAATATTCCATTTCAAATAAACAAAAATTAATTTAACCTTATTTAACAATTTTTTATTAAATTAACTCTACTACATGATATGATTAGCATTTTTAATGACAACATATTTCTTGTTAAATGATATTCTTTTCTATTTAATCATTCTTTTCATATTTCATTATTTTTATAGCTACTTATCTGTTAAAGTGTTAATTATAAGCTCTTAAAACAAAACCAAATGATCCCTCATTTAAATAGTCAATATTTTAATACCCCTCGTTTTTTAAATATGATAGTATATAATCTAATTAATTACTGGATATTAAATTTTTATTTTTAATTTTTTAATACATTTAATTATTACCCATTTTACTAAAAAAAATAAAAGAAATATAAAATTTTCGATTTAATAAAATAAATAAATCTATTTATTTTATTTTAAAAAAAAAAGATATTTATTATTATTTTATAAATATTTTTTTATTTTATTATATATTTAAAAAATTATATTTAATATTATAAATAACTAAAATTAATTTTTTTTTTTAATATCTAATATATTTAATAAAGAAACTTTATTATTTTTATTTATTTTTTTTAATAATAATAAAAAAAAAAACATTATATTTTAATTTAAATATATTTTCTTATTTATTGAAATTAATAATACACGCAAATTTATTTTTATGAAAATTAACTCAAATATAAATTAAATTTATATTAAAATAAATATTTGATAAATAAATTAAATAAAGTATTTTTCTCAATATTATTTAAGTGGTGATTTTGGCATTAATTCATTAATAAATTCTTTATATGTAATTTTAAAATCTTCATTCTTGTCATATCTTTTAACCAAAGATTTAAGATCATCTTTACAAACGAAAATTCCATAATCATTAAGTATTTATTTAAAGTTTTACAAAGTAATGAACCCACTATCTAAATTATCAATAGCTTAGAAAGCATTATATACAGAAAATAAAGGTCTTATATTTAATTATTATCTAATGATTTCAGCTTCAACCTCACTCAAGAAAATCTTATTCATTAATTTTTAAAAAATCCTTCTAGTTTCAGTCGAGAAATTAAACAACCCATTCTCAGGATCACAATATAAAGGTTCTCTGCTTTTACTCAAATACGCAAATTCGAAATTCTATGGACTTATTAAATCATTAAATTCACTATATTATAATAAACCATCATTATCTTTATCATATCTTTAGAAAAATAAAAACAATTCATTTTTACTTGGAAAAATTCCTATATATATATTTTTTTTTAAAAAAAAATATAGAAAATAATATTATATGAATGTATTATATATATATAAAAAAAAATATTACCAATTTTATTTAAAGCTGACTCAAACTCGATTTTAGAAACAAATCCTCTACCATTTTAATCAATAATTCTGAAAGCATCTTCAATATTAAAATCTCTTCTTAAAGCTAGTTAATTCTTCAAGTCTTCTAAATCTCTATCTAAAACAATTTATTATTTTAAAGCTTTAACAAGTTATTCTTCTTCATTTTATTTTAAAGGCGATTTATTTTAAAGTAAGGAACTTTCTTTAAGTCCATTATTATTAATTCTATATAAACTATTTTCTTATTTTTTATTTGTGCTTGAATATCTATTACGAGGTTAATTTAATTATTATGAGCAAAAATTATTAATATTTCTACTTTTTTCTAGACTAGCAGATCTTTACAAATAGCTTTAATATAGGAAATCTTTTTTATGTGAATCATTTTTTTAAGGAGTATATTAAGATAATTTAGAAGGAGAAGACTATTATATATTTTATTCATTATTTAAAGATATAATTTAGACAAATTAAGTATAGGTAATTTAGCAGTTACTACTTCTTAGTTTTCTGAATAAGGCCACTAGTTATTCCTCATTTAAAGCTTAATCACAAGAAGTCATAAATTCATCAATACTTTGAATATCTAAATAACCTAAGCCTAATCTATCTATGGAATTAAAGCAATTTAATTTATTAAAATCTAAAGATCTTTATAATATTTTTTTTAGATTTTCAGTATTTCTTAAATTCTTAATTTCTTATTCGAAAACACGAACTAATGCCCATTCTGATTCATATCTATTTTTTTATTTTTATGTTTTTTTTTATTTATTTTTTACGGTAAAGTTTAACCATCCTCTATATAATAACTTTCTCTTAAATTTACTAATTATTTTAATCTTCGATCTTCTTATGGTAATATACCTTCAGCAAAACTATTTTTTTTTCATATATATACATATATATAAATTTAAATATATATATTTTACTTAGAATAAGCTAATCTTCCATCTATAGTAGAACTAAGGTTAAATATTATATTTTATATTTCATTAAGAGTGGCATATATTTAATTTTATTAGAGGAATTATTATAAGTCAGAAGAAATTAAATATCCTTTTTTACCAATATCAAGCCTACAAAAAGAAGCATAGGGCTCAAACGATTTTTATTCGGCTAAAACTTAACGAAATACTTCAGTTTTTTATTCACCATCACTGATTGATTGAAAAACATTGGCTAATCTTGATTAGGTATGTGCTGAAATCATTATTTATTAATTTTTTTATTTTTTTTTATTAAATTTTTTTTTTAATTTAATTTTAATTTTTTATAAATCACTAATTTTTTGTATATTAAAATATGAAATTAAATGGTATATTTAGTATTAAATAAATAAATAAAAAAAAAAAATTGGATAAAATAGATTTTTATTAAGCTAACAAAGTAATTAAAAAAATAATTAATACTTTAAACACACATATATATTTCTATTATTATTATTTTATTAATTTAATTACTAGAAATAATAAATTATTATTTAAAAATAATATAATAACTTTCTTACAAAATTAAATATATATATATTAATAATATATTATAATATAAATATAATATAATTTTTTTAAACATAAAAATTATAATTTTTTTGTTTGAATTACTATTTACTATATTAATTTTTTTAATATAAATTTTGAATTAATTTTTAACAAAAATAAAAGAAATTATTATATTAGATTTATTATTTAAATTTAAAATTATTTTATATATACTTATATGTATTTTATGATTATATTGCTTTTTATTTTTTTAAAAAATATCAATTTTCTTCTTTATTTTCTTCTTATTATTATTTTAACAATTCTTCTTCTTCTATTCTTTTTCTTTCCTTAAAAAAATTACAAATAAAAAAAATATTGTATATATAAAATACCTATTAGTCTTTATTATATTTATCTTCAGCATATGCAAATGCATTAAGTTTAATATTTTTTGTAATCTTTTTTAAATATATATATAAAATAAAAATATTTTATTATATAAATATTTTTTTTAAAAAAAACCTATAATTTATTAATTCTCTCTAATTTTAATAAAGAATTAATAGTTTCAAATAAATAATTTGCATTTTTATTAATAATAGGATTAAAAGAATGAATTAAAACTTTTAAATTAGGCAAAGTAACCAGTTTATTAATTTCTTCGATTTTTTCAACTTTATTTTCTCTTAAATTTAAATATTATAAATTTTCTAAATTTGGAAAAGTTTCTTCAAAAACTTCAATCTTTTTTTATTATTTAATGATAAAAAAAATATATTAAATATACATTATTTTATCTTAAATGTAATCTTTAAAGGCTTACTAAAGAATCAATACCTACAATTTATTTAATTTTGTTTTAAGCTAAATATAATTCTTATAATTTAGGCATATTTATTAATTATTAAATTGAAGATATTCTATTACTTCTTAATTCTAAAATTTTTAAAGGTTCTAGCCCTTCGAAAGTTTCCATTTTATCAATATTATTTTCATTTAAATTTAAATGCATTAAATTAGGACATTTAGGAGTCAAAAGTTCATTAATTCGATTTTTTTATAAATTCAAGTACTAATTTTTTAAAGTAATAAATATTTAATTAATATTATTTAAAATACTTTTAAATTTCTAAAGCCTTCTTCGTTTTAAAGAGCTTTCATATCTTTGATATTATTTTAGCTAACATTTAGTCTTATTAAATTAGGTAAACTAGATACTTTATTATTTTATTTTTTATTAATTTAAATATATTAAAAAATAAAATATTTACAAACTGATATATCAGATAAATTATTGCCATGTAAATCTATATTTTATAATGCTTTATAATTTTAGAAAACAATATTTAAAGAATCTAATGATTTTTCCTTTTTATAATAAAAAATGTAAATATTATAAAATATATATATATATATATATATTATATATATATAAATATATTTTTTACAGCTAAATTTAAATTAACAAATTGATAACCTTATTTATCTAAAGTCAATCTTGCATTACTTAAATTTCTAAGTATTAAATCTTCATAATTTAATTTAGGTTTTTCCTCTACTTTTTTAACTTCTTTCGATGCAACTTTTTTACTCATTTTTTATTTTATATTTAATATATTTGTAAAACTGTTTTTTAATTTAATTATAAAAGAAATCGTAATTTATTTATTTTTATATTATAGTTGAAAAATATAAATTATTTAAACTTATAATTCTCTTATTATTATTATAATAAATATACATAATAAACTATTTATGATTTATAATTATATAATTTTTAAATTAAATTTAAATATAAAACACTAAATAATCTATTAATTTATATTTAAATAATAATAAAATATATAATTTTTCATAAACTAATGAATTTTTATAATGTGTTTGCTTATAAAAGTAAGATTTATAGAAAGTTTTCGTTTTCTTCTGATTGTTAATATATTGTTTTAGTTAATTATTAATCAATACATTCTTAGAAAAAGAAAGATTATAAAAAATTTTAAATTATATTTATACCTAAATTATTATTATATTTAGTATTTTGCTATAAATTATTTTAAGATTAAAAACAAATGTTTTCATTTTTTATATTTGAATTACAACTATAATTTATAATAATTCTAATTTAATTTTATAGTGAAAGGTTTTCTTATGTTAATTATTTAACTTTAAAATCTAAATGTTAGATGTTATTTTATAAGTCTTCTTAATTAAATTATTCTAAAAAATAAATAATAAATATATAGATATAAATAAATATATATATATTTATATATAAATATATATTAATTTACATCTTATTTAATATTATTTAGTTTCATAATTATTAATATCGTTTTTTATTTATAATTATTCTAACGTATTTTCTTTTATTTTTTTTAAATTGATACATTTTTAATATTTAATTCCTACTAAAGTAACATTAAAGAAGTAGGTAATTAAATTGACGAATGTTTATTTATAACTTCTTAAATATTTAAAATAATTTTTCCAAAATATAAAATATCATCTTATTTTTCTATTCTTTTTTAGAGCTTTTTTTATAAAAAAATATATAATTATATTATTAATTTTTAACTTATTATTATATTTTTTAATGAAAATCTTTTTATTAATATTAAAGTTCTATATATTTTTCTTATATAACTTCAATAAAATTAATAAATTTTTCTCCTAAAAACTAAAGTATAATTTTTTTGCTTTCCATTTATATTTGCAAGCTTTAATTTTCTTCCAAAATTAAACTTTCGATTTAAGGAATTATACTATTCAATTATTAAATAAATGCTTCATATGTCTATTTATTAAATTATATATATAATTAATCAAATTTCTATTAATTAATTTAATTTAATGTTTAATATTATTCAATTTCTTTATTTTTTAAATAAATTTAATTTTCTAAAAAATCATTTTTCTTTTTTAAATCCAAATTTTTTTTTTCAATTTAGTTTTTTAAAAAAATAATTTCTTCTTGTTTTTTCATAAAATCTTTTTCTTAATTTAATAATTCCATTTCGTATTTTTCATATATTTTTTTTATTTATATATTCTCTTTTTTTATTTCTTTTATTTTTTCGATATTTTCTTCGTTCTATTTATTATTTTTTTACAAAAGAGTATTTTAAGCTATTATTTATTTGTATTTTTGACGTAAAGAATCTTTATTTGAAATTATTTAAAAATTTTGTTCTTTTAAAATGTTTTATTCGACTATAATATCATTATTTGGAAATTATTATTAAAATTTATTTTAAGAAATATCATATGAAATTATTCCTTATGTTTAGTTTTCTAATTAATCCTTTAGTTTTTTATTTTAATCTTTTAATTATGAAAACTTCTTTTAAATTTCTTATTATAAAATAAGTTATTATTCATATTAAAATTAATATTCTTATACTTATTATACTAATGGAGTATTATCTTATAAATTATCAATTTAAATATTTGAAAAACAATGATTTTAAGAATAAGTTTAAAAATAAAAAACTTATTCTAATTATTCATATAAAAGATAAATTAAATATTTAAGAATAAAAGTATTTTCTTCTAAAATAAAATTATAATAAGATTTATTTTTAATTTTAAATTTTATTATTTCAAATGTTTTCATTAATTATTCTCTGCTTTATGTATCAAGAAAAGATATTTAATTATTAATATTTTAAAGAATTTATAAATATTTATACTTTTTTTCTTCATTTTATTAATTTTTAATTTGAAATTTTTATTATTCTATTTATTATATATTAAATTTTTTAGGTATATTAATAATAGGATAATTCGTATTTTTTTTTTAATTAATTATGGATTTATTTTCTGTTTAAATTTTACAACATTGGATATCTGAAATATCTAATTTTATCTTAATTTAATATAAAATATACGTATATATATATATATATATATATATATATATATATATATATATATATATATTAATGATTATAAAATAAATACTTCATTAATTATTTATTTATTAATTTAATTATTATTTGTCTATGTTTATTTTAATATTTAAATAAAATAAAAATATATTGTTTAAAACATTATTCTATTGTTATGTTTTTTCTATAATATATTTCAATTTATTTTCTTATTCTTTTAATTTATTTATTTAATTTTTCGGTTCTGATTTAAAATTTTATTTTTTTATTAATCTTAACGAATAAGGAGTATGTTAGCTATTTGATCGCATTTTTTTATTTAATGTAATTATATTATATGTATTATTATTTATTCAAATTTAATAAACAGAAAAAAAAAAAAAAGTAAAAATTTAATATTTTTTTTATTAATTTAAATATAAAAACTAATTAAAAATTTAATAATTATATAATTAATTTAATATAATTATTGAAAAAAAAATAGTTATAGTTTTTAAAATATAATTAATATAAAAATAAAAAATAAATAAAAATAATATTTATTTTATTTTATAATAATAATTAAATAATTATTTATATATATATTTATTCATTATTATTAAAATTCTTCTTCGTCGTCATCTGCATCTCCCATACCTTCAATTTCTTCAGATTCTTCATCATCATCGTCTCCTTCTCCTTCTTTTTATTCGTCTTCATCGTCATCTTCTTCAGCTTTTTCTATTAATTCTAAATCATCTTAAGCTTTATCTCCATATATTTTTGGCTAATATATATATATATAAATATATATATAAATATATATATATATATAATATTTATTATTATATAATCTTTTATATATATTTTATATTTATATTATAATTTACTTCTCCTCTTAATTTATACTAACCGTTTTTACTTAAAATTACTTCCTCTACAGCTTTTAAGGCATCTTTTATAACTTCTAAACCTAAGTTTTTATCTTAAGTATTTATAGTACCAGCATATACTGGAGATCCTACAATTTCAAACTTTTTTGTATAATTAATAAAAAAAAAAATTAAATAATTTAAATATTAAATAAATTAATTTGATTACTCCGACTTAACAATTATTACGCGATTTAGATTCTCCGGCTAATAAAGCAGCTTTTATAGCATCAACTCCTTCATATCCATAACACCTAAGCTCAACTTCGGCCTTAATTCTTAAAGTTTAAGGCGCCAATCTTCTTTAAATTTCCTTTAAAAGTTTCTATTTAATATCTTCTGATACATCAAATTAATTAATCACTTAATTATCATTAAGAGATGCTCTAAAAGCCTCATATGCACTCTTATATTTTTTACTTAAAGGCCAAACTACTTTAGTATAAAGTTCATCTATAGTAATTTATTTATCAGATTCGCAAATAGTAATTAAAATTGAATTTACAGTTTTTGCTTTAGAATAATTATCTAAGCAAGCGGCATCTTAATTATTTCTTACTTTTTTTTTACTCAAATCAATATATCCTATTTATTTATATTAACAATAATAATTAATAAATATAAATAAATAAATAAAATGTATAAATAAATATATAACTATATATTTATATTTTTACATATATCTTTATATATATATATACATATATATAAAAAATATATATATAAAACCTTTTTCTTCATCTACACGTAATACTTAAACTACTTCGGTTCTACCGATTTTAAGTACTTTTTATATGCTTTATTACATTTATTTTGTCATTTCGTTTGGTGTAATCATACCTTCAATACGATTATATTCTAATAATTATACATAACAACAGTTTTCCTCAACTTTTGCAACTTCTACCTTTTTTTTAATGATTTGTTTTTTTATTTTGGCTTTTTAAATTATTTATTTATTTTTTGCTTTTTGTTTTTATTTTTGTTTTTTTTTTTTTTTTATTTATTTTACCACAACAAGATCGTTTTCTTTAGGATATTTTTATTCATAAAAACGATGTGATTGAACTTTTTTTCTTTCTTCTGCCATTTTTTGTTTGTTTTATTAATTAATTTATTATTGTTATTTATATATATATATATTTTTTTTCTTATTTAAAATATATCTTTTTTTATTTTTATATTCCTTTTATTTATTTTAATTAAAAAAAAATAAAAAAATTTAGTAAACTATAATATAAAAAAATAAATAAAAAATATATAAATAAACATTATTTTTTAAAATAAAATAAATATATCAATCTATAATAAGAAACAAAAAAAAATCATAAAGTAATATATTATTTGACTATATTTTTTATTAATGAAAAGGTAAATATACATAAGTTATAAAATTTTCTTTATTTTTTAATTAGTTTTAACTATCATAAGTAAAATATAAAGGAACTTTAATATATTTTTAAAATTAAACTTCTTTTATATTATAAATACAAAGTTCAAAATCATTAATAATATTAAAAGGAAATAATAATTAATTATTTTTTAATGTATTTTCTTATATGAAATAATTATTTTAATAACAAACATTTTTTTAACTTTCAATAAAAGAATTTATTTGCTTATTCCATTAAAGACCATATACATATAATTATTCAATAATAAAAATTTAATTATTATGATTTTTACTATTTTCAAGTACAAAAACTTAAGAATCATTTAATTAATTTTAATTTTTAAGTAAACTTTTTATGTAATTTAAAGGAGAAAATAAATAAGAAAGATTTATTTTATTTATTTGCTATTTTTTAATTAAGTTTTACAAAAAATCATATTAATTCTATAATTAATTTAAAAAAAAAGTTAAATTTTTATTCTAAAAAGCAGTTTTTTTTAACCATTTTTAAGGAGTCATTTATATTTTTAATTAAAAAAGCATTTTTTATAATTTTTTATTTTCTAAAAGACTATTTGATTTTTTTTAAATAATAATTAAATACTATAAATCATTATTTATTTTTCTAACTAAAAAATTGAATTTACTTATTTCTTCTTATAAATTATTGTTTAAAAAGCAGTTTTTTTTGTCATTTTAATCTATTATATTTCCTTTTTTTTTATTTTATATATCTTTTTATTTAAATATATTAAGTTTTTTTTCTTTAAAAAAAATCATTTTTTTAGGTATTTTTTAAAGTAATTTATTAATAAAATTATCATCTTCTTATTAATTTTTTATTTTTAATATTTAATTTTATGCATATCTATTATCCTTAAAATGGAACAAATCAAAACAAAAAAAGTATTTTTTTATATAATTAATTCCAAATAAAGCATTTTAATCCATTATTTTCTAAACTAAATAAAAGAGAATGTTTTTTTCATTTTAATCTATAACAAACGATTCAAAAAGAGTAAAAAAACTATAAAACTATTTAAAGTTTTTGCCAAAATCTTATTTAAAATTCATCTTTTATTACAAAAAATAAACTAAAAATCCAAACTATTAATTAAAAAATTCCTTCTGAACATAAAAAGACTAAAAAACAGTACTTCTAAATTAAATAAAAGCATTGATCAAAGCAATTTAATAACAGAATTATTTAAAAAATGAAGATTCAGTTTAAATAAGATTCTAACAATTTTATGATAAGCATGTTTTTATTTATTTTTGAATGTTTTTTTCTTATCCATTTAGGGCTATTTTATAAGAGTTTTTCATTAAAAATTTAATTTTTTTATTAAGGGTTTTACACTGGAATTTATTATTATTTTATTTAAAAGATAAAAACAGTCTAAAATTTTAACTTTTATCTTATATAGAAAAAAATTAATATAATATTATTTTATCTATTATTTTTTCAAAAACACTTTCTTATATATAAAAATCGTTTATTTTTATAAAAAACCAATATGTTTAGTCATTTTTTATATCTAAATTTAAAGTTTCTTCATTTCTTATTATTATTAGGTCAATGTTTTCTTTTTGTTAAGAAATTTTTGTTAAATTTTAAATAATATTTTTAGAGTTTTCCTTTTCTAAAAAAAATATAGGAATTTGTAATGGGATTTAGGTTAAAAGATTCGAAAGTTTTTATTTAAAATGTATTTATTTTTCTTTAAAAAAATAAGTAAAAATTGGTAAATCTTAAGTAAAAAAAGAACAAGAAAAAAACTCGAAAAAATTCTTTTTTAAACATTATAAAATATTTTCATTAAAAAAATCTTAATTTTGAAAAAAAATCATAAATATTTTAAATGAAGAGAACGCTTTTTTAGATACTTTTTAAAAATTTAAATAAATTTAAGAAATTTCCTTTAAAAAAAGCTCCTTTTCTTTAAAATAATCTTCTTTTTCTTAAATAAAAGATTAAATTTCTTATTTTAAAATGATTTCTTTTTCTTATTTTTTAATATTTTCTTTTTTTTTAATTATTAAGTCTAATAAATTCTCGTTGAAAAAAAATTAATTTAATAATTGATTTTTTCCATTTTTTAATCTTTAAAAAATTAATTTTTTTCTTCTTCTTAAAAAAATAAAAAATTTTAATCTTTTTTTTAAATTTTCTTCATTTTTAAAAATTTCTATTAAAAAATTTTTAAATTCTTAATTTTTTCTTATAAAATTTTCAATTTTATCTTTTTTTCTTTAAAAATTCCATATTATTCCCCAAAATATTATTTTATTTAAATTTTTTTCATTTTTTATAACAAAAATTCTTCATTTAGTTCAAAATTTATTATTTAAATTTTCTTAAATTTTCTTTAAATTTCCTTAATAAATTTCTCATTTAAATTTTATATACAAATATATATTTTTTTTTATATATTATCCTCTAAAATTTCTTTTTTAAAAAAAGGCAAAAAAGCATCTTTCTTTTATAAATCTTTCTCTTATAATACTACAAAAAATTCTTATTATTATTTCTAATACATTTTTTTCAAAAACTAAAAAGAAATAAAATAAGGATCGAATAATATATATACATAAGAATCTATATTTTATATAAAAAATTCATTTTATAATTAAAATTTATCCTTAAATGGTTTAAACTCCTTTATAAGTTAAAAATTAGGAATTTAATTAATAATTTAAATTCTTTCTTAATAATTTAAAGGTGAAAAAAAAGACAAAAATATTGAACTATGTATTATTTTATCAAAATTAAACTGTTTATCTATATATTTTTAACTTTTAGTTTAGTCTTCTTACATAATTTCTAAAGCAAATTTTGCTTTGTTAAATATTTACGAGAATTATTTATTTTTAAATATTTTTTTTTCTAATTTTTCATTAAAAAATTCATCAATTTTATCCAAATTTAATTTTTCATTCAAAATTTAATTAAATTATTTTTCAATTTAATATTTGTTATTTAATATTTCTTCAAATTATGATTATAAAAGATCTCTTTCTTCGAATAAAGGTTAACCTTATTAAATAAATGAAATATAGATAGAGTAAAAAATAGAAAGAAATATTATATAATAAAAGAATATTATATATATATGTATAGATAAAAAAAAAACAATAATATATATATGTATATAAATATATTCTTATATATATATTTATATTTTTAAATAATATTTTAATATATATATTTATATACATTTATATATATCTATATAAATATTTATTTAAAATACTATTCTCTTATATATTATTTACATTATTTATTAATATAAAAATTTTAGCATATTTCATATATCCATTCCACTATATATTTACAAGCTAAACTAATATTTTAAACGGTCTATATAAATTAATTATTAATTTAAAGATCTTCTTCTATTAACTTTATTGTATATTCTTATATATTATTATAATCGTAATCCTAAATTTTTTTAAAAAATTAATTATAATCTTCTATTAATTTTAAAGAAGCCTACCACCAATCTGTTTCTATTTTTTAAGTTATAAAATTTTTCCTTTTCTCGACTGGATTAGGGTATAATAGATAACATAAAGATTACATTATTAGTCTAATCGGACTGGCTGGATTTTGCATATTTTTTAAAACTTCAAGTTATATTTTAGATATTTATAGTATTATTTATTATTAATTTTTGACTTTTTCTAGTTATTATTCTGTTTAGTTCTTTATTTTATTTTAGATTTATTCTATTAAATTTTTTTATATTAATAATTCTTCTTCTATTTATTCCATTTTTTTTTTTTCGGTATTAATTTGTATGTTTTTTTCGTTGATTTTTTCTTAGTTTTAGGCTTTTTGTTATTATATATTATTTATGGAATTGTTTTGTTTTTATATTTATTATTCTATTTTTTAATTTTAAAATTTTAAATTATTCATTAAATTTATAAAATTTTAAAATTAAGATTTTTTTTAAGTAAATTTTAGTTATTTTTTTCTATAGAAAAAAGTCAGTTTTTTTAAAAAAATAATGTAGTTTTTTTCGAATTCTATATTTTTCCCAAAAAAAGGGAATAAAATTTACTTAAACGAAGTTTAATTTAATACACTTTATTCTTTTTCAAATAAGTAATTTTACTAAAGAAATGAAAAATCTTCGTTTTAAAATTCTTAAAGCGAAAAAGGTGTAAAAAAAGAAAAAAGCTTATTATATTTTGCATTAATTTTAACTAAAGTTTATTAATTTAATACAATAATAAATCTTATTTTTCTCTTTTTTTAAACATTTAAAAAATCCACTAATTTTTCAAAATCTTCAAATTAAAAATAAAGAAACAAATAAGCACTTTTATTTTATATTTTTCCTTAAATATCCTTCAAATCCTTCAAATTAAAAAATTAAAAATCACTTAATAAACAAGAAATTTACACAATTTTTTTCAAAAATACCGGAAAATATTCACAAATATAACAAATATGTGAATTTTATAAAATTTCAAATAATTAGAAACTTGCAAATTAAAAACAAGGTGCTAATTTTATTTCCTTATTATTTTTTTACGAAATAGACTTTATTTTTT